CTAAAAATAACTCATAATAATAATACTGTTACCAATAATAAATACTATTTGCTTCTAATGATGATATTGTATTCTGCAATACTCGTGAATCATGCCTAGCTTTATCTAATACTCTATCTAGTCCTACAAAACATAAACACAATCCATGTGTATGACATTAGCTAAACAATTACTTTCATTTTCTAAATAGCTTGCATTAAGCTTCTTCTTACAAGTCTGTAATTCAACTTCAGTTTCTTTTTCTAAAAATAATACTTAATAAAGCTGAGAGTATCAAATAAGTACTAACTTTGAAATGATACTGTCTCTTGTAGCTTGTCGATCTCACTTTTACTAGCAGCTAAAGATTTCTCAAGCTCTGCATGTAAATATTAAATATCATGCATACATGTCTACCAGTAACTATAATATTATACCAGCATTTAAGTCCAGTAGTCTCTGAATCTCCACTTCTAATGTTTCATTTTCACCTATTGAAATTTGATTATCATAGTAATGATAACTATTTCTGATACCATTGTTTCCAGCTTCTTTATTTTCTTCATCAGTTAACTCTTCTTGGCCTAATGTAAGAATAATTTTACACGTATACATACAAATTATGATTAATCACTTTGTAATTCCATAACTTGTGTATCTATAGCTACTGATATTAATTCTATTATTTCTTCATTCTCTCCCTGTATCGCTAACTTCAGTACTTTGTCTCCATTACTATCTTCATAGTATGGATCAGCTCCCAATGACAGCAACAGTGACACTTCAAATGTTTTATCTAACTTTACTGCTTCATGTAATGACTCGTCAAAGTTAACATTATCTTTTTCATCAAGAAGAATGTCGCCATTTATTGAAAAGTAAAATACACCAACTCGGCGCATTGATTCAGACTTTGATTTGACAGCACTGGTGATGTGAGCAATGGCAGAACGTGGTACCAAATAACTGATACATACTGATCCTGGAGTGATTTGAAGATGATTGAATATATCGCTTCGAGTACAGTAATGTTTTAGTAATGACTCCAAGTCACTTATGGTCTTCTCATCCCATCCTCCATTTAGCTTAATGACAACTACACAACTGGTATCTGTAGAAGAAATGATTCGTTCACATGTATCTTCAATAGTAGATTGAAGGTACTTTAGACTATTTGACTGCTTAAAATGATTCATTTTTTTAACGTAAGCCTTCATTTTTTTAATTATGTAAGTATCAGAGGTAGAGTGAGACATAAACCAGCCAGTAACACACTCCATACACGATTTCTCAAAATGCTCATTAACAATAGCTTCTATGAATGAGCAATTAAGATACGAATAATGATCCCGAATGCGATTGAATAATACATCAATAGACACTTCATTTAAGAGGCCTCCAAGATTTAAATATTCTTCTACAAATCTAGCAATGTTAACAGTTTCAAGCTTCTGGTGTTTGACTTTCTCTGTTAGATGTTCCCGAATCTTAGCAACAAGAGCTGCAAACATTGATTGCAGTTGGCGAAATTCTTTGTGAATATCAGATTTAACAATAACTGGAATTCTATTCCTCCTTCTCAATCCAGATGACCCTGTAATGAAAGTAATAAATTCTACATGGCTATGTGCTATAGAAATGAATCTACCTTCTTGTTTAATGATGTCAATCTTTCCAATCTTATCAGCCGCTGCCCTCAATCCCATTTCTTTTACAGCCGTTGACAATTTCTCTAGTGAAGGTTTATCATGTGCATCAACATCATAGTCTTGCTGGAGCCAGATTTTTAAACAGCCTTTAAGACATCCTTTCACATCACGAGGGTTGTCATCTTGAATTGCATCAAGCTTTGGTTGACTAATGTGTAGCCCGAGCCCCAAATCATTCCATCTACCAGCTGGAAAATCACTCCTTTCCAACGTACTGATGACTTCATTAAGATCTTTAATATCTGTTAATAGGAAAGAATAATGATACATACACACAACAAAGTAGCAAGATACAAACCTAAAATTTTGTTTGGTTTGATTTCTCCTCCAGTGGCCATCTTGTGGGCAGTGTGATTGACTGATTGTTGGTATGTCAATGAATAGTATTATAACAAAGTCAGCAAAATAAATATTATTATTAATAATCAAAAACAACAAGCAAATACACTGAGAGAAGATATACACACTATTCTTTTATTTATAATAAATATATATATACATGTAAAGTATATGTATAACAATGTTAATGATACTGTATGGAGTAAGGATTCTTCTCCATTGATGAAACATGACGTAACATATCCTTCTTTGTAACTATACCCAACAGACGACTAGAAATATAAAATAAATAAGTATAAAAATTGAAACTAGTACTAGTGTTACATGTACATTATGTTAAAGCTGTAATGTAAAACTGTAAAACTGTAACGGCTTCTTTACTAAGTGTTGTACTTAAAATTTTGGGAAGGGACATTGAAGTCCGATTATTTTATTATTAAAATATTATAATTTATTATTAGTATTACTACCACTATTATCATTATCATTAATTATCATTATTATTATTATTATTATTATTAATTCATAATTATTATTACTTACATCCTGGTGTTTTCAGTCCCAATTCCCTACAGATCACAGTAGCTGCCTGATCACTGAACATGAAGTCACAGATATTGTGCAGCTGCCCGTCCGATCCACAGATACCGATACGACCACTTGACGGGTTAGTACCATTGAAGAGGAACAACCTCTCACTCTTATCAATGCACCTGGTGTCAATGGGAGGGGCTGGAGAGAGAGAGAGTGTGGAGAGAGAGAGAGAGGGAGGGAGAGAATAAAATGTAATTTTAAAACATCACAACATGTTATTGAGAATAGCTGGGTGACAAAAATACTTAACTAAATACAAAACAAAATAATAATAATATATTTAATAATAATAACAACAGTTCACATATATAATACACAATACTTTATTAATGCCATTACCTGATGTATCGTTAGTACATATTACCCCAGCGTCATTAGAATGGGTACAGTTAGGAGTTGATCCTATTGGTAGCGGCCACAAGCAGTCAAGAAGACCAGGTGGGTCAAGATCCTGCCTAGGAGTGACGCTAGTGTAGTACAGTTAATCTCAGAACCCCAGATAGGACCAATACCAGCTGGAAACTGACCAGCAAGTGAGGGTACTATAAAGAAATATAAACACAGGTTATAAATATATATTATAATAATCATGGTACATAAAACTGTATGCATAGTCTCACTTAGTATACTTTAATTGATTTAGAAATTAACACAATTAACATGTACATGTACATGCATAAGTATATATACTGTACATGTATAATAGGACAATTAAAATATCATTTGCTCTCTCTCTCTCTCACTCACTTCCTTTCTTATACTCCAGCTGGTTACAGACTCTATTAGCGGACTTATCATTCCATCCTTTATTACAGATGGTCCCCCATTGTCCTCCAATACACAACTCCACGCGACCAGCTGCTCTTGTCCCGCCCATTAACCTAATGTCACCATTCTTACAGGAACTACCTTGAACTATATGATATCACATGATAGTCACATGATTTGATTGCTTTTGTTTTACCTTGGCATATGATTCCAACTGATTCAATTGTGTCACAGTTTGTTGAATGAAACCCGTCGTTTAGGCAGCGACCAATGGTTGTGTCTATGTAGCTACGGCAACGGACGGTATCAAGATAGACTTGGAATTCATCTTGAATGAAAACAAATTTCTCACTCGAAACTGCAACTGAAAAAAAATAAAAATATTTAAAAATTAAAATTAAATAAATAATTAAGTATTACTTCCATTATCAGAGCTGAATCCTTGTTCAGTACACAACACTTGAACTTCATTCATTGAGAATTCATCATCACAGACAGTACCATAGCTGCCATTGTAATAGATTAGCAGCAATCCTAAATTACTAGCGGACAGGAAACTCAATAAAGCCATATCTCCATTAGCAGCTGCAGAGACATCTGGATCTATGAAATAAATAAAAATATTATAATAAACACATAATTATAGTATAATAATTTCAATAATAAACTGATTATATATACTGTTATTATATTGAAGTCTTACTGCTGCAG